CACAATGTAAGTTTTAATACCAGGTTTACTGACCTTGTACCGAAGGAATGGAAAGTATTAGAAAGTTACTGCCGCAGCAAAGGTGTTAATCAATACCTACACCTACACTTTACGCACATTATCTCCAGCGGTCTCCAGTGACAAGTTAGGACGATTTATTTGTATTACAGACGACTAATTCCGAGGAAATAAATCTCTCGCGCTTGTCACGTCGAGGACAGTGACTGTCATACGGTTTCGCCTGTTGTAAGTGAAATATAACGCGTGGGCTTAGGAACGTCAAGTATTTTTTAAATCTTCATATTTTATTAATTTATGGAAGGCTGCCCTTTACGGTACGTGGCCTCCACTCCAGACCCTTGCTACGCCAATCATTTGAACCTTGCCCACCCGCAAGGGGCACCGACGACCTCTTGTATAGCAAGAAGGCGCTGGATGCAGGCCGCTAGCCGCTACCAACCAGGTAATATGGAAATCATTGACCAGTGTACAGCAGTGGACGACGTCATATAGCTGTAATGATGGTTCGTTCGTTTCAGCCGAAAGACGTCCACTGCTGGACAAAGGGCTCTCCCAAGGATTTCCACGAAGACCGATCCTGTAATGATGGTGGTGATGATGATTAATATAACTAAAAAGCATTAAGTTGTATTCAATAATATCACCTCTGTCCTATAAGTAAACTTGTTTTCCTTAACGTGTTCAGAAAACAGACACCAACTCGGATTTATTGCAGTTATTATACCTAGTTCTAGTTCAACTATGTACAGTCGCGGAATGAAAAGGTTCGTCACCTTAGTGTCGGTTTTCGCTTGCACTAGGTACTGTAAGAGTCAAACCTGCCAACATAACAGTACAAGAAGCAGTGCTGCTAACATTTAAATAAATATGACGTTTGCTAACGAATAAGGTTTTGCTTGTTTATTTTTCTATCCCATCAGTGCAATGCAATGATGACATTGACCAATTGACAATAGTTTTTTTTATTTAAAAGAAATAATAATGGCAGGTTGAACCAACAAGAAGGTTTTAGTTTATCAATCATAATAATCTTCTTGACAAGATGAATTGTCAAACAACTTTGATCTGAATAATTTTGAACTTTACTGACGAACAGTTAAAGATTATTTCCTCTAACTCGAGATTATTCTGTAACATAGTTTCAAAAGGTAATATGTGCTCGCGAATCGTTGAAGGAATCAATTTGAAAACTGACGAACCTTTTCATTCCGCGACTGTACCTACGTATAGTTCAGCAGACAATGCTTTTAGTTAGCTAGAATTTTTCAAATATCTAGACGGTATGCGATGTTGATGCTCTCTCGAACAATTGTAATAAGAATCGACTGTCAGTCTGGAAGTGTGCGTTCGTTTTCAGTTGAGTACAGACTGTTGAAATAATGAATAGTTACTGCTTTCTTCAAGATGCTTCTTGTTTGGCTTATTTATTTTGTTTTGCTTTTTTGTTCTATAAAAGTCTAATTCTCACTTTTTGATTTCAATTAATGGGGAATTTTGCCTAATATTCACAATATTGCTTGTAATAATACGTAACACCAGTTTTGATTTTTATTTATAAATTAAGATGGTGCAACTCAGCCTTAGAACTATAAATAAAAAAAGTATTTTAAATCATGAATATTAGGCTAAATGCCCCGTTATTTGAAGTCTCCCTTCTGCCAAACGAATCTATGACAAAGACGGGCTGTCGATACCTAATCGATGATGTGTCGCGCTCTGCAAACTAATACACGTTAGTGGACTGTCTCTTCACCTTTTATATGATTAAAGGTCGTCTTTCTGCAAGGTTATCGCAAAAGTACTATCTATCTTAGTAGGTACGAAACAAAAATATTTCATAGGGTATGGTTTAAGTAAGTTGGTCTCTGTACCCATAGATAAATAAGGTTATCTATGCCATAGCTCAGTAGTTAGAACAGTCAGTCATCCAGGGATCAAGCCCAACCTAAGGGAGCGTGGAATTTGAGATAGAAAAAAATAATTTACAAATTCAAATTCTTTATTGAGATGTACTCAATAAAGAATATGTTAAGGTAGCCTCTGGAAATTTATATAGAAAGAAAGAAATGCAAATTAGTATTTGTATGTAGTTAGGTCCTTTTGAGAATGAAAGAAAAATGTTTTACCTATTCAGTGACTCAAAATACAATAATAGTAACAAAACTAAAAGAACTAGGTAGTTTTATTTTAATTTTAGTAGGTACTACTACTCGCAAGTGTCTCAAGTCAAAAATATTTGACCAGTGTGTGTTGCCAGTGATGGTGTATGGCTCTGAGACGTGGTCGCTTACTATGGGCCTCATAAGAAGGCTCAAGGTCACCCAAAGAACGATGGAGCGTGCTATGCTCGGAGTTTCCCTGCGTGATCGAATCAGAAATGAGGAGATCCGTAGGAGAACCAGAGTGACTGACATAGCCCGCAGAATCGCTAAAATCAAGTGGCAGTGGGCGGGGCACATAGCTCGAAGAGCTGATGGCCGCTGGGGCAGGAAGGTTCTTGAGTGGCGACCACGAGCTGGAAGACGTAGCGTGGGCAGGCCTCCCACTAGGTGGACCGACGATCTGGTGAAGGTCGCGGGAAGTACTTGGATGCAAGCGGCGCAGGACCGGTCTTTGTGGAAATCCTTGGGGGAGGCCTTTGTCCAGCAGTGGACGTCTTTCGGCTGAAACAAACGAACGAACGAACTACTACTATAAGTGGCATCTGTCTCTACACATCTACAACTTTTATTTTTGAAACTAAATAATTCCATATTACATCCTGCATGCACTGGTGTCAGAATTTATGAGCTTCTAACATGACGCAGGGTTTTACGATGTCCGCTTCCTGACTTTCTTACATAAAATATGGTTGAAAGCGGTCCATTCAATTGCAAATGTGACGTCACGATAATATCTATCCCTTTCTTCGTCCACTCGATTTAACTTTATTGAATTTTCCAGGCAATAGAATGGCGGAAATTATTAAAGTCTGGCTGTAAAAGCGCACTAGGTATTTCAGATTTAAAATCGACAAGAATATTATAGATATTGCATAATTAAATTCCTACAAAGATTAAAAATTTATATGCATAGTTAAAAACTAATTAGGTACAATTATTATATTTTATTCTAATCCTATACGTACGTAGGTATATTTTGTTCGATAAAAGCTAATTCTGCTGCTGAAATTTGTATAGGTGATTAATAAGTAATTTCGCAATGGTCCCTGAGGGTTAATAACAGTGGTTGTGGTAAATTTATTGTCAACATAATTATTATTATTATGTTATCGCAAAGATTATTGAAAATGTTTGCTAATGTAAAACTTTTAGAAAAAGCTAGTGAATCGATGACGAAGTCCAATCTAACTATTTGAAATTTTATTGTCTAGGTTTTCATTTTACTTCATGTAAATTATTTAGTTTTTGGTATTCTGCCTTTTACACAGTCCTACTCAAAGCAAGTACGTACAAGTGGTAGGTAAATGAAGCCTTTACAGATAAATTGGAAATGCAAAAGTGTGATGAATTTTCCGAGTCCGCGCTGGATTGATACTTTTGATACAGATTTAACTGAGAAAACATTAATAAACATACAGAACAGAGGATTCCTGTACCGTTATTGTTCACTAAAATTCAGTTCGTACATTATTCATTTTCTTTCATTCAAAATTAAGATTGAATTAAGCAATTTTTATTAAGTTAGTAACATTAATGTTATGGATGTGAAGATAAGAATGATTGTTTATGTTTTGTTTAGGTGTAAACAGTTATTTATGAATAACGATTTAAGTTTCAAAGACTGTGAAACTTGTCTAACAATTTGTAAGTTCAAAGAGAAATAGTTAAACTTTCCCATTTTGTTAAAAGAAGCTTAAAAGTAATGTAGAGAAGATTTTTTTATCTTATGCCGTGGATGAGGCTCTGTAAAAATATTTTCTTAGTTTTATATTCTAAAGCTTTAATTATATTATAGATAGCGCGTCCTAGCTACGACCCTGTGAGAGCGTTCTACTCATTGTCGAAACCTGTACTCGTATTACCATGTGACAAGCAAATCCTACTAATATTATAAATGCGAAAGTTTGTATGGATGTCTCGATATTTGTTCCTCTTTCACGCAAAACGTACTGAACGGGTTTTAATGAAGCTTTACAGTATTATTGTTTATAACCCAGAATAACATATAGGCTATAATTTATGACGATCTGTGGAAAACTGAATTTCACGCGGGTGAAGCCGCGGGCAACAGCTAGTAATTAAATAAATAAATGGGTGAATANGGGTATTAGCATCATATTAAGTATTATTATGTTCAATACAAACAATCATTAGTTACACTCACCCCAACCGCGTCTCCGCATTGCATCGAATCCTATGAAAATGTGGTTTTTGGACATAGCAATAATTACTGGTCGATAGGTTACTTTATTTTGAAGAATAAATGTTATTAAAAGTTTTTTTCTAAAACTGATAGTTTAGCCGGAAAAAAATATTTTCCATCCCATTAGTACGCCGCACGGTGGTCCCGATTTAATAAAACATGGACATTGATGCTAGAAGCACGAAATTTTTTTTGATGGTTACTGCTATGATAACTAATAAGGCAAAAAAATATTACAATCCTACGACGTCTATTTCGTAGTAAAAAAGTACGCCGGCTGCGCTCGATTCGGATATAATGACGTCACGCGGCCTTGCGTACGTTGACTTTTAGCGGCAAAAACGGCCTATGTTTATTACTTAATATCTTCGTAAGTAATGGTCCGATTTGGATAATTCAAAAAGATATATCTTTCTTATGTCTTAAAGATTAACGTAGATACTAGTTTTATTGAATTTTCTACAACAGTACTGATCCTCATTCCAGGCTATTAGAGAGAGACATTTTTCTGGTTACCCTATGTGTGTGGGAGGTCAATGCGCCCCGATGCGCTTGCGTTCCCCGGCCCGTTAACGCGCCATCCTTACACTCACCTGTCTAAAGAGTCTAAAGACACTTACCCAGCACATGTTAACTACATTTTATCATTAATGAAAAAGGATACATTTCCTGGAAAAAGTCGAGGCTTGGCGGCTGGAGGATGTCTAACGCCGATAGTACCTGGAAAGATGAAAGATACTGAATTAACTTGTTTACCTTCGTAATTAAACATCAGTCGTGTATATTTATTACACTGTCAGTTGACTTTATAACGTTAATTACTTTAAAAAGGATCTCATTCAATCAAAGCTTCGTAAGGTCGGCAAACTCTACGCCAATAAGCAGATTAAAAAGCTTCATATAAAATTCATCAAATATTTAATTACGTTAACAGTTAACGTAAAATATCTTTCTTGGAAAAATATTTTTGAATGAGTAAAGAGTTCGTGACCTCAACATTTTTTTATGAGAACTAAAGTAATTGAATGAAAACTGCGTGCGTTTAATTGTGAAATGTATGTCCCAACCGGCTAGAAGGAATGGACGTTTAAACATAATTAACTTTTAATAACAAAAGATGTTCGCTAACGATCTACAATTTGGTTCATATTTTATTGACTAATTAAAATATAACGAGAGCACAAAGACACTTCTACGAGACAGCGAAAAAATATAAAGTGCTGCATACCTACAAATCAGTTTGTCGGTACACTCAGTCCGGCTTGGATGGTAATAGGTTCGAAAATTACTTGCAGGCAAACTTTTCATATTACTAATGATATTTTTGATTGTTTAGCATGACACCTCGCAGCAGAAGCGATTATTATGGTTTTCCCACCTATTGGTTTTCCCGGAATTGCTAATTCGATTTCAGTTATTTATTAATAATAATCTGTGTTTCCAATCAAACTAGAAAACATGGCCAGTATTGGCCAGCGCATTGGTTTTTAAATATTATTTTAATGAGTAAAATAGCCAGATATTCTCTGGCCTTTCCGAATTTCTTCATGACAACCCTCAACGCGATTAACACATCATTCAGCAGACAATACCTCCGATCGGCCATAACACAACAACGGATCCAATTTGCCGTCCGAATGTATTATCTGTGTTTATACGCGACACAAACCGCTAACAATGCACCGATCGATAAAACACGAAAATGAATTAATTATGAGAGCGCACGGCGCATTATAATTACTCGTGATAAATGATAATGTCCAATCTGACTCTATTTCCATAAAGGATTTGCAACACTGGATGCGTTCTGCGGTATGCGGTCAGCTCAAAGTGAACGCAGCCCGCATCATGTATGAACAACATTGTCGATCAGCGATTTGGGCAAGACATTCTGATGTCAGCGGTCGTAACAAAGCAATCTGTCAGCGTTCTCTCCTCGTACCCACACGGCCAGATCGCGTAGTGCAAATTGTATGTAATATGTAGGTATTATGTAATTGTAGAGACCGACAATGTTGTTTATTCATATTGCGGGCTGCGTTCGGTTTAACCTGACCGCAGATCGCATCCAGTGTGATAAATCCTTAATGGTGCAACGGCTCAAGCGGCGCGTATTCTATGACACGCAATTACCAAATGACACCCGTTTTTGAATGGACACGAAAATTAGCTGTACCTACTGTAATTGACTGATAAACCTGCCAATTCACTACTAAAGCTCTACCGTAGATTACATCGGCGATCGGCAACACTCGGGGGAGATTGTTATCAAATGCAAGCACATTCATCATATAAAAAACTAAATAACTTGATAAGGAAGCTCATTCAGTCCACTGATAAATTCAGTCGCCAGTAAGTAGGTAAAGGAATAAAAATAACCTATTCCGGTCTGATTCTTGTAAGAACTCGCCTTTTTGGGTCACATAATAAATAAACACACAGAATCAGGCTACGAAAATAGTGGTAGTAACAGTGTATTTATAAGCTAAAGTTCGACATCACAACAGTTCTTTTGATAAAATCAGTTCAAGCCGTGTACTAAAAGCTCAGGCATGTTGTTAGGTATTTCAGTAATCTGGTCTTTAATTATAGTTAAGGACTTAATTAACTGGCATTACAACTATCATATATTGGGTTTGCCAACTTATTATGCATACGTTTTTGTGTGTGTTGTTAAATACTTTTTTGTGTACAGATATCGGCGCTAGTTGAGTCCCGGAGTCATCCAGTGACTTGGCCCACTTTTAGCTTGGTCCACGGGCCAAGTCGCAGGTTTGAATTTTTAAATAGTTGTTCTTCCAGTGAATGAGCCCACCTTCAATGTTTTATTAATAAATTAAACACCAAATCAACAAAAATCTACTCTAGAATCTTAGAGGTTAGCCCAGTCACTGATGAAATAAAAGCTATTTAAAAATTCAAACCAGTGACTTGGGCCTTGGACCAAGCTATAAGTGAGCCAAGTCACTGGAAGACTCGAGTCCCGGCGGTTCTCTAATTAATAATGTAAATAAATGTGTTGATAAGCTGCATCAATTTGATCGCCGCCTGCGTTCGGAGCGCGGGAATAACACCCGCGTTAATTGACGACAGTTTCCGTAAATGAACAACATTCAGCCGATCCGGCGGAATAACCATTTATGCTGTAAATAAATCATATCAATTCAAATATTCCAACACGTTTAATGTTTACTAATTGGGAAGGCTTTGCGACTTACATCGTACAAACAGAATGAACAAACAAATTGCAACTTAGTATCTGTTTTTCGTTCGTATTTCCACTGAAATTCTTGCCAAAAACAAAAGCAATATGGAGCTGTTTTGGCAGAACACGAATGCAAATAGAAATGCCCTTTGAATTAGATATTTGCCAACGAAATAGGACCGAGTGTACTTTCGTAATTAGAAAGATAAGCTAGTCCAATGCATTAACTACATCTTAAAAGTAAAATATGTGTAATAAAGTCAGCCTTGGTCGGGCATTCGCTTAAGATGATAGGTTTACGCGATGTCTGTGTATAATAAAATATTTACTGAGACATTCCACCAGACCTCTTCCACCTTGGTGGACCAAGACGCAGGTTGGCGTGCCATTTTTATGTTTTCCAACAACCCGCACAAAGTTTTCTCTGAATTTTTTGTCATGAACAGCTGGGTACTGTACTGGAACTCAATGACTGCCGATATTGTCCCAGAGTACGAACTTCTTCAAGATAAACAAGCACCTAATTACGCGGTGAAATACTTATCTATAGAGGTAGTGTACTTCTCTGTAGTGTTTTATCGGTCAAAGAAAATACCCAAGAATTGCGTATGTAGAATGTTCGCTTCATTAGGTTTTAGTCGCTGGCCACAGACTTGCGCCAGAAAATAAGAGAAGTGCGCGCGAAACGGCCAACTTAATTTAGCTCAATATGAAGTTTGCAAGCAGGAGTTTATTACCGCTACAGCATTCAAAACATAGGTGTTTTTTTAATCACATTTGTTTTTTCGGTAAAGGCGTAGTGTAGTAATGAATAGTAATGACTAATTACATTCTTCATAATTACAGTCTGGCAGCAGTTGGGACCTTGAGTCTCTATCCAATAGCCTTGTGTGGGCTGACTACAAACGACCTGGTTTCCGTGGATAAAAATCACATTACATGAAACTTGGGAGTTTCATTTGATAGCGGTTTGGTGTACAATATCCAAACATAAAAAGACCAATTTTCATTTACACGCTTAATAAAAGTTATTTAATGAGTGACTCTACGTAAAGTTACAAGCTACTGTTGTAGGCTTGGTGGTTGTATGCTTTGAACTACTTTGAAGCGGCCTACATCCAGCTATAAAGTTGCCTGATGATGATGACTCACATAGAACAGATGTTTGTAGTCACTTACGTTTTCATGTTTGAAGAAGCAGAGCATTTTGAGCTCGCGGAAGACGCGCTTGGATGACACGAGCGACTGGAAAACGTTGGGCAGCTTCTTTAGGGCGACACGCCGGCCATCGCGTGGGTCTGTTACTGCCCTGTGAACAATAAAAGAAATAAGTGTCTAAATAATACATCAATTTAAAAAAAAAAAAATAACACTTTATTACCAACACATACTCGTAACATGTGTTCAGTATAATATTATTTTTACGCTACATTAAATATTTTCTTTAGCCTATCAATCTGAATTGATCGATTTATTCGTCGATTCATCGAATATTTCAATCCCCAATTTACACATTAGACACACTATGAAATGATAATCCCATCCCAAATCCCAAATAATATTATAAATGCGAAAGTAACTCTGTCTGTCTGTCTGTCTGTCTGTCTGTCTGTTACGCTTTCCCGCTTAAACCTCGCAACCGATTTTGATGAAATTTGGCATAGAGATAGTTTGAGTCCCGGGAAAGAACATAGGATAGTTTTTATCCCGGTTTTTGAAACAGGGACGCGCGCGATAAAGTTTTTCTGTGACAGACAAAATTCCACGCGGGCGAAGCCGCGGGCGGAAAGCTAGTGTAAAATAAATGTTTTGTTGAATCGAATCTAGAAAGTGGCCCATACAAAATCCTCAACTATACCTATACCATGACAACTTTGCTTCACAAAGGAAGCCACGCTAAGCGCACTTAGTTACGAGGCTCAGTCAGAGAATTATAAACTCTTCAGACCCTAAACGCATTACCATGACAATGAAATAAGTTGGAAACTATCAACAATCGCTGCTACCAGGATCGTGACGTATTGACACAACTGCGAGCCCAAAGTTCATAATTACCATATCGATTGTTGTGATAGACACTACTTGCGAGCATCTTCGTGCGTGACTGAACAAGTAAACGAATAGTTTTCTATTGAAACTGAACTAATATTGTTTATTTTCGCCGTGTACTCAACTACAAGTTTCGTTAGACGATAATTCTATTACAACTACCTAACTTGAAACAAGATAGTACAGTGGTAACCGCCACAAGATCCCTAATATCCAAAACACATAATGGCTCAGGTAAAAGTATCTTGAAAGGAGTTCACATAACAGGTGTCTTATTAAACTAATGGCAAGCAAGAGCTGCTATGAATGGAGACTCAAGAATACGTCTACCTACGGACCTCATAATCTGCCAGGCCATTTGGACTCTCGAAAACCTTTCGAAAACATGGAGTCGTACACAAAAACGACAATTGAAGAATGCAATCGGTATTGTAGAGCCGAAGCGAACCCTCGCGTTAAAAGGACCGTTAGGGCTGCCCTTGCGATTATTATCGTTCGGAGTAGGGCCGAGATAATATCGCAAGGGAAATAGGGATGCCAGTGGTACAGCACATTCAGAACAGCCGGGGATTAAAGCGTCGCATTGAATCATTATGGGTATTGAATTCAAATAACTTTGGTAACCATGGAACTGGAATCTATATTATAGTTTTCAGATTTGTATTATCCTAATACCTATATCAATATTGAACATGTGTACTTCGTAAAGCACTTTAAGCCATTACAAAAAGCTTATCAGCCGTTTACAATAATTAAGTAAGTGTTTGGTTTCATATTAACAAATTGCCCATTCTTGTTCGTTCGCTAAACCAATTTAGAAGTTGCTTAACTGAAGATGCGAGTTTAAAGGATTCGCATTTAGTTTGAGGTAGACGTGTATGTTTTATTTTGTTTTTAACGTAGAATAGGCATAGTGACAACCCTATCTAGTATTACGTTACGGGTACGTTGAAGGGTATTCCATAAGTAATAGACAAAGACGCCTTCGCAGTAAATTCAACTGTAAATAAATATGCTACGTTCATAACAATAATTATGCGAAAGCCTTTATGCCTGAAGGTGAAGGGTTTAGTTGTTGGTCCGATTAGGTGCCTACAAGTGTTTCTCTTTTATACGTACTAAATGTTTGTCGAAATTAAAAGTAACTGGCTTAAACTGAGGCGTCTAGTGACTGAGCTAAGTTTAGTGGCTGGAGACTTGCGTGTTTAGGCGCGTTATCATTTAAAATAAGCGTTATAAATCTTCTAAGAGTTGTCTCAGAAACTGACTAATTAATTACATAACGTTTTTATAGAAATCATTTGATCATTTCGTATCCTAGAAAATATTTATTACCGTTATTGTGGTATATCCAGTTTTATGAGTACGAAATAACTGGTAATTTCAAATGGGGCCTGTGACCATTATGATGTAAATGAGCTCTTATTAAGAATCAAATCGAGATGTAAGGTACCATTGAGTATACGGGTCTGGGGTGAGTTCCCATTACGGTCGGCGTGTTTTGAAAAGGACAAGTAAAATCTTTACAGTAACCCTATTTAATTTGATCCTTGATTAAATCCCTAATTCTGTGCTAGATGTTTTACCCGGGCTGTGCCCAGTAGGTGGGCCTGAGAGCAACGACCTAGGCAGAGGCACAGCCGGGCAGGGCAGGGCTCGGGAACGTTTCAAATTAGGGATGGCCCTGATTTATCACCACGAAACACCCGAAACGAAGCAAATAACAGACGGTAAAATGAGCGCCCGGGATCGTCGCCAGGATGAAAGCGAGAGTTGATTATAATTAAGTTTGAAAGAGACATCCTTATCACAATTTTGTAAATCAATTACAAAAATTTAAAGTTAAAATCTTTCAATGAAATGGCCTTCAAGTATAATTTAAAAATTACACATTGATTTAAAATAGCCTGAAACTGAAGACAGATATTCACATGACATTGTAATATTAATAAATGTTTATTTACCATATACATTTATGTATAAGTCGTGTCTTTCAAGTTGCAAAACGCGATGTCAAAGGCTACTTTGTAAAGAACATGTCACACCTTCAGCCGTCTTCCCAATTTATAGTCCCTATAAGGAGCACAAACAATGACAGGAAGTGTTTTAGCCACTTACGACCAAAAAGCGATAATAGTGGGTTCAATGACATGTCTAAAACCTTTAATGTACACTCCAGTGCAAAAAAAATATGATCTCTTTTTAAATACCCATTGCAAAACAGAAAATTTGAAAAATTGGGCAAAGCTAAATGAATGCGACCTGCATATTCGGAGGCGTGATAATCCAGTGTGAAGTTTTTCGTTAATTAACGTTGTTAGATATTTCGAAGTTAATGATGTTATGAACACATGCGCAATGTAATTTTTAGTTTTCCAGTGAGTTTTGTTATGTTATTGAATATAGAGTTGCAAAATAGCCATTGTTCGTTTAGATTCCCATTGCACGTAATAAAGGTTAAGATGAGAGGTGTGTTGCTCACATTTATAATTAGCACTAATGTGCTAATAACGATAATTCGTCATAAAAGAATTAACAATTGACATTTAATGAAACATGCATAAGTACAAAAATCTGATACGAGAATCGTTGAAATGTAGTCGAGTGGTGTTGACGTATTGGTATGTTAAACGTTTGTAGTATTTTACGAGGCGAGATAAAAATAAAGTGACTACAAAACGCTGAAGAGTTTTTGTTGACTTCCACGTGACTTTAACATTACATAAAAAATGTGTTAAAGTATTATGAAGTCTTGGCTAAAGATGACATTGATTTATTTACATTAAAATAAGCGAAAATAATTTAACACATTTAAAATGAATCTTGTTTCACATGTTAAAATGTTAATATATTTACGAAAAACGAGATAGACTACTGCATTTTAAAACTTGCAGAGTTCCGCAACATTCTGGGCACTGTACCAATCCGAAGTTGGGATTCAAAGTCGTACTTTTCGGAATTGAATAAAGTAAAAACAAAATATTTTTCGCGGCCGGACCTGCGGTGCTGCCAGCTCCGCGTAGTTCAGGCTAGTTACCAAACAGGCGTATGAGAGATACGCCTTTTATTACTTTTTATTCAGAAAAAACAAAAAGTTTGAACAAAAATATTAAGAGTCAAGTGTTAATGTTATGGTGAGTGAGCAAAATATGATTTACGTAGACCCTTATCACAATAACGAAAACTTTCGGGTCTGCTGAAATGGGCTAGTTAGAGAAAAAGCCTAAACACAAAGCAGAAAAAATGTTATTGATTCCCGGACCGGCGTGCTTGAAGGATTACTTCGTTGGGATTACTTTGATCCCGAATTTCCGAAACTAAGAGGTTTCTGCAACGAGATTCGTTATTTTCGGTTCTTGTCGTTCTCAAGATAGCATTTTAAGATGAGTGAAGGAGACCGATAGCAACCGAGTTTAGGCAATGCGGGCAAAAATAGGGTTTTAAATAATGGATATCTATTTCCCCCAGGCCCTGAACCGGCAACGGTATTGAGCCGAGAGTCGTCCGGCCGGATGGGCGCTACTGCTCTACCGAGTGTGAAACTGGGGCTAGGTTAGCCAATAGCTGTGTACGCACAGAGCTTTGTACAAATTAGTGGTCCTGTGATATATTCTTTAAGTAAGGTTATATCGGCAACATCCTACATTTAACCATATAGAAAAATAGTGTTATATGATATCAAACCTTTGCGAGCACTAACAAAGAATAATCGCTGCTAATGCATTACTTCTATTCCGCTTTTATCCCTTTTCGCATCTGGACCGAATATAGCCCCTTGCCCGGGCCCTAGGGCGCGGAATAATGACTGTCGTAGGCTCGCGTTATCTCCGCCCGCATGCGGCCTTAGCAGATGCGACTACACTTTAATGATGTGGATACAACTAAACGTAATAAAACCAAGTTATACAACAGGCATTCGTTTCTAACATCAGATCAGGGACAGTTTTGAACACACTCATATTATAAGTGATGTTACCTTACACGTCTTGAGCATCAGGTTTAATATTGCAATCGCCGGATTTATTCAAACGTTTTCCAATCTTTTTTTTATAATATAATAGTAATTGTAGAGACGCCACCATTTTCAAGTGGTGAAAAATATGAAATGCAAGGTTTATGAATCAGACTGCAAATCGTGAAACTAATGATAGAGGGCTATACAGTTTAACTATCACTGTACGAGTATGTACAGAAATCTGGGGACTCCTTACACATAAAGGGATCTGGCGGTCGTGGCTGCATTATCCTGGGTCATCGTAG